TGGTTCTGGAATCAGATGCTCTGTACACTGGTTCTGGAATCAGATGCTCTGTACTGGTTCTAGAATCAGACATGCTACATTGGTTCTGGAATAAGACGCTCTGTTCACTGGTTCTGGAATCAGATGCTCTGGGCTGCTGTTCTTGTTGTTTATTGTGTGTGTTTGTGTTTCAGGGACATGAATGGCTTCGTGGTGTGGTGTTTAAAGGGCCAGTTCTCCACTCCAACTCCTCAGGCCAAGCCGCGCAGTGTCAGTCTGGACATGCGCAGTCTCTCGCTGGAAGGAACCGGTCCCCCGCAGCCTCTCAAGCCCAGGTGGAGTACTTTCACAGCTGTCGCTGCGGAGAACATCAGCATCATGGGATTCACAATGACACGAGATTCTCGCATGTCACAAACAGACTCCAGTGTTTGGATGATTTGACTGGTAAATTAGACTGAAGCAAATGAGCTGTTTGTCTCTGCAGTATCCACACAAGGTAGAACTATCTACTCAGAGCAAAGTGTTCGACCAGTGTCTCATTATATAGCTCTCCACCTCTGGATTCACAGCTTTAAATCATCTTTAGTGATTCTGTGTTGGCTTTAAACCACAGTGATGTAGCCTAGTGCTGACTGAACACAAAACCCTAGAGTGTAGGTGTTAAGAGTGGTTGCTAGGGTATTACTATGTGGTTGCTTGGGTGTTCAGGGTTATTGCTAGGGTGTTCTGACTGTCTGTTTCCATAGCAACCCTCCTGAAGCCCCACCGAAATTCAGCCGTCGCCGCAGTAAGCTGGACACACACAACCCGATGGAGGCGGTGTATGACAGTGGTAACCACAGCAGCATCCACGGTCTCACAGGTACAGCAACAGACAAACCAATCACATCATCCCTTCATATAACAGGAGCACACGCAATCTGTGTCCTATATAAATATCATGCATTTAACAATCTTCACATGTGAATTTGTCACGTGCCTCACTCTTGTTTGTGTTTGTCCTCAGCGATGGATGGAGTTCCTTTCTCTCTACACCCGAAGTTTGAGTCTCAGTCAAACTCAAAGGTCAGAGGCCACTGCATCACTCATTAACATGTGGATATATGTAAGAAATCACATGCATGTATCTGGTCATTACGCCTCAATGTGCTGTGACTAGAGTGAAGATTTCAGGGCAAGATGAGAGAGTTCTGTTCGAGAGATCGAAAGTCTTTGACCACAGGATGCTGTCATTAACCAATCACAATCACAGTGACCCATAACAGACGTGTTGTTGTGTGTGTCAGGTGTCTGTGAGCACGCTGAGTGACATCCGTATCAAATCAGTGCAGGACATTGAGAACGAGGTGAGGCGACCTGCATCTGCACCAAGCTTTATTGCTTTTGCAAGCACCATTAATAAGATTGTAAGACATCATTTTGAGACGATCATCGATTCTCATCGTTCTGGAGGACTTTTATTTTGAATCTGCCTTTGCTCGTGTTGATGGTTTGTCTGTTTCGTGTGTAGTTCAGCAGATTTCACTGACGGATTGTTTCTCTGCAGTATAACTACACGTTTGCGGTGGAGGAACTGGCAGCGAAGAGGATGTGTCCGTCAGTGAGCGGCTGAAAGCATTCCTCCCGTCTTCTCGTCGGATCAGAATCCCATTCCGTCAGATTGGCTCTCAGGCTCTGGTCCATGAAATCACACACTTATTTCTGGTTTAGGATGACCAAAACTCACACTACTGCTTTTGCAGGGCTGGTTCTGGTTGGTCTCATTCTCTCTTTTCTCCACCGGGTTGGTTGAACGTGAAGGATTTTCTGCATCCAAACACATTAGGTGCGTGTGTTTCTGCGAAACACTAACCGGCGAATCAAAGGGCTTGACAAAGTGCCTTCTCCACAGAGATATGTGCTTGTCATTTTATAAGGGCACAATATTTTATATATATATGTTTTGGGGATTTTGAGCTGCAGCTTAGTATTTAAAAAGTGTGGTTACAGTAATATTCTTTATTTATCGTATGAAAACTGTTCGTGGGGACCAAAATACAGTGTGTTTTTCCACTACTCTTTTGTACTTGCTTCGTTAAAATCTGTCTTTTTGTGGAATTTTAATAAAAATGATCATATTTGCAGACTTGCACAAAGGAAGTTGCGTTTTAACTAGAGCCACTTTCTGTAAAATTCCTCAAGTAGACCTAAACTGCTTTATATGAATGTATATTTTTTGTTTTACTTTTCTATATCTACATAAATGCCTTATTTCTGGATCATAAACAAAACCGCAGACGCACTTTTGTTTTGAAGTAGTTTACGGAAATAGTTTCTTCCGGTCGTCGAGGCAGCTCATTGGCTCGCTCAAGTGTCAGTCGTGTAGCCACGCCCCTTTGTGGGCGGAGTCAGTGCGGCCTGAGCGAGCGTCTCGCACACAATCACAGCGCTACACTGAAAACTGCTGCAGGATGGATCGAGGATATTCTTCAGGTGAGTGTTTTACTCGGTATTTATTTTATGTAAGAGTCTGTTTGTTCGCTGGGAGCGTGTATTGGTCTGTATTTAAGCCCTGTAACTCAACGTTACTGTGATACGGTCTGTGTTGGTCAAGTGCTTAAAATGGCGCAGCCTTCTTAAACGCTGTGTAAACCATTAAAACACAGTTAGTTAGGTTCCTTTAGTACCAGTATTGTAATTTTAAAGCGTTCTTTCATTGATTGCTGTCGATGTGAAGCGCATTGTTGTTGTCTTATTGAAGCGCGCGCATCGAGCAGCGCATCTCGCATCGGTCTTTAATCAGCGGCTTATCAAACTAATCAGCTTTGTGAATGAATCACGCGACGCGCTGCGGTCATTCGGCGTCTGAAATCGCGTTAGTGAGTCAAAAGGGAAGAATCGCCGTCGTTTCTTGCCACACTTTCATTACTCGGTCACTTCACGATGGGATAAAATGGAGTCGTGTTGTAAAATGGCCGCCGTCTCCATTCTGCTGTAAACACATTACAGTACAGCTGTTTACTTCGAGTTTAGTGTCAATACGCGGAGTTTATAGTTCAGTGTACTGACATCTGAAATACCCCGTGCTATTATAGTTCATGTCTAGTACTGGCATACGTTTAAATCTACGCATTTTCTCTTGAGGTAAAACAAATCTTAGTTATTGTTGACGCCATGTCTGTAGGCTCAGGTACATTTCTGTCCAATCAGATGTCCTTTTGAGTGTCGAAGCCCCGCCCTCTAATGTCACCTGACTCCGAGCAGCCAGTAATAAGCCTTCATGGGTGTTATTACTCCACAGTTAAACCTGAAATGCAATTAGAAAGATTTCATTTTGGAACCTTTAGGTAATAGCTTTTTATAGGTGTTTTTATTTCTTCTTGAGTATCATATCTGCTCCATCAGGCTTTCATGGCTCAGTCTGATATAGGCCTAGTGAGAATATTGAGGGAAAAACAGCTCAGTTTTATTCAGAGGTTAAAGCAGTTTGCTGCAGATGCTGATATTTATGATGCTTATAATGTAAATCAATGAGATCTGTATAACAGTAGAGCAGAGACTGACATGAAATGCTATATATATATATATATATATATATCAGTCGTCTCTATATCTCCAGTAATGTGTCTCAGTGAGATGAGAGTGAAATGCTCCAAACATATAATGCAGTGATTGAGAGATGGGGAAATAAAGGCTTTTTGGTCATCTAGAGACTTAGATACTCCCGGATCAAATCTGAGGTCCAGAGCGAGCTGTGATGTCTCTCTCTGACGTGTTCTGGTTTCAGGGTTCTCTGGCTGGGGAGGATCGGGTGGAGGAGGGTCGTCCAGAGGTGAGTCTGCGGCCGTGTTCGGCTCCGTCACGTTCACATGTTGGTCCAGCAGATAATCAGCTGCTCTGTTGCGGCTCAGGCTCGGGCGGGTACGACCTGTACGGCTATAAGGACTCCATGTCCAGCAGCGGAGGCTTCGGAGGAGGCGGGTACGGGTCCAGCGATCGGATGAAGAGAGGGCTCTCTGGGGGGTCTCTGCTGTCCTCCAGCGGCTCCAACGCAGACGACGTCATCGCCAAGATCAACCAGCGGCTGGACATGCTGACGCAGCTGGAGGGAGGCATGAAGAGCGGCGCTCGCGGAGACAGGTGACGCAGCACGCACACCTGAAGCCAGACACACTCGCGTGCGCAGCTGCCCTCGTCAGCCCGTCTGATGCATAGCTACTATACACTAAAACACCAGATAGTAGACAGAAATTGGTTTCAGTGTATATCTATGGCATTAAATTGGATGTTATGCGTCTTTTTTGGCACTCGTTTCTTTTGGAGGAAACGGAAAATATGGCAAAAGGAAATATTGTTTATCCTTTTACTCCCTTGTGTTTCTCAACTTGCTGGTTTTTGACGATATATATGCGTGTTTATTAGGGATGTAACGATGCACGGCGAGCCAGGTTGAAAATCGATACAAAATATGTGACGATTTAAAGCGGTTGAGATATTAAACGAATCGCGATACAGTTAGTGGCAGGAGTTTATATGTGAGCCTGCAGCACAAAAGCAGTGTTGAGTCGCTGGGGGATATTTGTAGCAATAGCCAACAATACATTGTATGGGTCACAATTATACATTTCTCTTTTATGCCAAAAATCATTAGGATATTAAGTAAAGATTATGTTCCATGAAGATATTTTGTAAACTTCCTACCGTAAATATATCAAAACTTAATGTGTGATTAGTAATATGCATTGCTAAGAACTTCATTTGAACAACTTTAAAGATGATTTTCTCAATATTTAGATTTTTTTGCACCCTCAGATTCCAGATTTTCAAATAGTGTCCGATCCTAACAAACCATACATCAATGCAAAGCTTATTTATTCAGAACTATTCTCATTTCGAAAAATTGACACTTAAGGCTGGTTTTTTTTTTGGTCCAGGGTCAAATATCAGTGACGGGTAAAATAAAAATTTAAATATTTTTAAATCGCTAAAATGTTCAAAAAAGCCATATATTGTATAATATCCATTTTTGATGTCGCCAATAATTAGAGATGCACCGAAATGCCGGCTGGCGAAAATGAGTTCACCGCTCAGGTTTCACTTTCACGTGGTGTGACGCTCTGCGTGTTATCCGCTCTGTGTGTGCGCTCCGCTCAGTCGCTCCACTCGTGTACCGCTCATGCTCATCGGAACAGCAGAGTCCACTCAAAAGCCGAGCCGACGGGAAACATGGATGTAGTACAGTATTGTTTCTGTCTGCTGTAACATGGTGTGGTATCTCTGGTAACGCTGCCCTCTCATTCACTGATCTGCTGACCGCTATGTTATGCTCGCGTGTTCTGATAATAACAGCTTTCTAGGACTAAACATTATTTGGATAATTGGTAAAAAAACAAACACTAAATATCTCAATAGCCCTGCTGTTGGACCTAGACCTACCTGAAAAACTAAAAAGCAATTTATTTCATTTGTAGGCCTATCGTTATTATTTATTTGTGCTGTCATTAGTCATTTCTTTATTTGTTCTTATTTTATTACTGACTGCTTACTTGTCATTTTTATTCAAATTACCCAGCTGTAAAATAAAAAATACACTGAGTGAGCAAACATTTGTGAGAGAGCTAGTTATAATGGTAATTAAATAATGTTTACATATGTATAAAAGGATCATTTATGCAGCATAATTTCACAAAAACCAATCTTTAATGTAATTTAGATTAAAAGCGGCTATGTGTCATTTTTTTTATTCAATTCAAAGTTTGAAATCAAACTATCGCGTGCTACTGCATGAGATTAAGATTTGGATTAAAAACAGCATGTCGGCAGCATCTTTGTTTGGATCATGATTAAAAGTGGTTGCATCTAACTGAATGGAAAGAGCACATGCAAAGCCTTAGCTTTTTGTCAAATAAATTACAAATAAATAAAAAAAGAAAAACATTGTGAGAGAATCGTAGGGTATCGCGAGTTGAGTGAATCGTTACATCCCTAGTATTTAAATGTATTATATACACATCCAGCCTTTAAAAGAGTCCAGATCAAAATGATTCGTCTGCTATTTTGTCACACCTAGCACTAGTTTGCTTGCTTATTGAGGATAAAGACATTACGGCTGGAAAGTTTGACAAGATTCGTCAGTCAAGCTCGTCTTAAAGTGTATTTTGTGATTATGTCGGTCTGCTAATGTTGTCTCTCTCTTCAGACGTTCAGATCTTTTCACCAGCTCAGTCGCAGCAGTAACTGCTTTAAGTTTATGGTTTTAAGACCGCCTAAGATCTGCTTAGTTTGTCCCTGCAGCACTAGTACACTTAAGATGTCGTCTTGCAGACTGTGATCAGGGGAGACGCTGTATGAAAACAAGGCTGTGATGGATAGACAGTCAGTCTGTTGTGTGGGTTGTACGGTCACATTTGTCACCTGAAATAGTTTTGAAAAGACATTTTGAATGTTGCATCAGACTACTTAAAGTTTCAAAATACATTAATACTTTTATTCATCAAGGATGCATTAAATTGATCGATAATAAATCAGCATATTATACTGATTTCTGAAGATCATGTGACACTGAAGATTGGAGTAATGATGCTGAAAATACAGCTGCGCATCACAGAAATACATTACAGTTTAACAGATACTCGCATAGAAAACAGCTGCTTTACATACTAATAATGTTTCATAATATTACCGTTTTTACTGTGTTTTTAATCAAATACAGCCTCGGTCATGTACATGTTTCACTCACAGCCTTGCTTCCATTTGTAAAGTTTAATATGGTTTCTACCGGGACTAAGTTGCAGTTATTTGCTTTCGAGTGTTATGCTTAGTTCTTGTAGCTGGAACAACTAAAGCAGTGGTTTTTGTGTTAGTACGTAGATTCAGCAAATGCTTCCTGAC